TAATGTGTAATGTGTAGCTTTGATGGAGATTGTATCTGATTACCGTATTGGCTTGGACTTGGATCCATGGACTTAATAAAAATATCAGAGGTGAGAAGCTCCAATAATTTTTAACCTCCTAATTTGTTTCATCTATCGGAAACCTGTAGGCATTCAAGCTCTACATAGAGCAGTTTCCCAATCTTAGCAACTTTAAGATGCGGGGACTTCAACTCCCAGAATTCCCCAACAAGCATGGAGAATTTACCAAGATTAGGACATAGAACAATGTGGTTTTTTTGGCTCTAATTGCACTTCATAGTAAATTATGTCTTTAACTATGGTGTACTGAATGACCACATTATGGCTTAGCATGATGTGGAAATCCAGTCTTTATCATTACCAGACTAAAATGTCAACAAATGTAATATTTTAATGTGTTTTCTACATACTGTTGGAGAACAATACTGAAATCCAGCTTCCGCGTAATGGTTTTCCTTTGTAGAAAAATCAGAATGCCTTCATATTCCTATATTATTCAGAGGATTAGTTAAGAAATGTCACTGAACAGAAAATGCCTGTTCATTAAAATTCATGGCACAACTCTTTCTGCTGTGGTGGGTTTCAACTGCTGATAGAGCAATACTTTAAAAAATTGGCTTGGCTGGAAAACAGCTGCTCATCAAAGCTACCACTTATAAGCAATTGGTGATAATAAGATACCATTATGATGGTATTGGATGGGTAATATATTGTAAGCTGTTTTAAGGTATGATATAGCCTAGGTGGAATACAAACTATAATTGTTGATTCAAATGGTTGACTTATCTAGACCTACCTTAACCTGTAACCAAAACAGAAATAATCATGAGTCAATTGTGTTGCAAGAAGAATATTTCTTTTATCTCAAAAATATTGCAAGAGATGGAAGACTATCAGTCTACCTTACTATAAAAAAGTGATATAGAAAGTACTTGACGTATTTTTGAGACTAAATAACTACACTTAACACTTGTAGCAACTGTGTATTTCAGAGGTGGGTTTCAGCAGGTTCTGACCAGTTCTGGAGAACCGGCAGCAGAAATTTTGAGTAGTTCGGAGAGCCGGTAGTAAAAATTCTGACTGGCCCCGCCTTCATCTATTCTCTGTCTCCCAAGTCCCAGCTGATCAGGAGGAAATGGGGATTTTGCAGTAACCTTCCTCTGGATTGGGGAGGGAATGGAGATTTTACAGTGTCCTTCCCCTGGAGTGGGGTGGGAATGGAGATTTTACAGTATCCTTCCCCTGCCACGCCCACCAAGCCATACCACGCCCACCAAGCCACACCCACATAACCGGTAGTAAAAAATTTTGAAACCCACCACTGGTGTATTTGTAGAGTGGCTAACTGTCAGCCTGGACAAAGGGCAGCCAAAAGAGTTTAGTTTAGTTCCTCTTCTGATCTGCCATTAGCTCCCTCCCTGTTTTTGGAACATACCCTTACAGCCTGCAGAATTGTGATGAAAAAGTGCCAGAAGAAAGCTATGTAATGCATATTCTCCATCAAGCCCCCGTTTTCAAAATGACTAGTGAGGCTGCTTGATATACTGGTATACCTTAACATAGAATTTTCTTGAAAGACATTATTTTCAAATATGAGTTTAGCATTTAGTCTGTAAAATTACAGAATAACAGAGTTGGACAGGAACTTGGAGGTTTTATAGTCCAACCCCCTCTTCAAGCAGACCACATACCATTCCAGATAAATGGAAACTTTTTGTAAATCTCTAGTGATGGAGCACCCAAAACTTCTAGAGGCAAGATGTTCCATTGAATAATTGTTCTTACTGTCAGGAAATTTCTCCTTAATTCTAGGTTGAATCTCTCTTTGGTAAGCTTCTATCCATTACTTCTTGTCCTGCCCTCAGGTGCTTTGGAGAATAGGTAGACCTCTCCTCTGTGTGACAGCCTCTCGAATATTGGAAGAGTACTATCATGTCCAGTGATATACATGTTTTGATCAATCCTGTTAAGGCTATGTGCCTTGGAAAATCTGCTATTTGGATGTTGTTATTGTTATAGTTAAGGGACACAGTGACTCAGTGGCTAAGATGCTGAGCTTGTTGATCGAAAGGTCGGCAGCGGTTCGAATCCCTAGTGCTGTGTAACGGGGTGAGCTCCCGTTACTTGTCCCAGCTTCTGCCAACCTAGCAGTTTGAAAGCACATAAAAATGGAAGTAGAAAAATAGGGACCACCTTTGGTGGGAAGGTAACAGCGTTCTGTGCGCCTTTGGCGTTTAGTCATGCCGGCTGCATGACCAGGGAGACATCTTCGGACAGCGCTGGCTCTTCAGCTTGGAAAGAGAGATGAGCACCGCCCCCTAGATTTGGGAACGACTAGCACATATGTGCGAGGGGAACCTTTACCTTTATAGTTAAGACAAATGACAATGATCAATTGTACTTGTAATCTCTCATTTAATTTCCTAGGCGCTTTTCCAAAATCATCTGCTATGTAGAATGCAACATGCATATTCTAACATTGTTCCTTATGTCTTAAGGCCTGTTTCTAGAGGACTTTGGAAAATCACATATCCATCATTAGCATGACATATAAATCATTTCAAATATATATAATCTACATAAAAACTATCCTAATTAAAACCTATTTCTACATAAGATTCAAGTCACTTTAAGTCCATTAGCAAAATTATCTGAAAAGATTGCAGTTTCCTGGTGATAAATAACGCCATGATTCCCTGTGAAATAAGTAACTCTCTCTTACCACCTTCATGTATATTACAAGGCACCGTAAAAGAATACTTAAGATAAACTTTGCTGAGCATATAGTGGACAAAATAAAAGAGCAAATTATGATTTGTACATAATTGCATCCAGAGACACTTATTTTATGTTGCTGAATAATAGATAAATAGATGGTTTTACTTGGAGCTTAAATTTCAAAAGGACCTATGCAACGGGGGAGAAGTCAAACAATTCAATTAGCAGTTGAGTCATAACAACAACAAAACAGAGTAATTTAAGGAGTATTATTCATATTGCCACAATGTCATTCTTTTTCTACCCTCCTATATAATTTTAGCATACTCTCTAAGAAGAGTGACAGTATTAAAAATATGTTCACCTCCTCTGAAAGAGAGAAACATGTTTTTAATCTTGCATGTTGATGCCACACTACTTTTAAATTGTATATATTTAAAATAAAAAAAATAAAAATAAAAAATTGTTTCAACTTCTACCCTCAAAAGACGCTATAGAGCACTGCACACCGAAACAATTAGACACAAGGACAGTTTTTTCCCTGAATGCCATCACTCTGGTAAACAACCAGTTCCCACAACACTCAAATAATTTACTAAGACTGTATTACTATTATTCTTCTCTTCCTTACTAGTATCTATCTCTTCCCACTTATTACTATGACCATATTGCTTGTATCTTTCAGTTATATTGTTTTTATTTGTTTCCTAGTACGATTTGATAGCTTATTAATAACCTTGACTATCACTAAATGTTGTATCTTTTTATTCTTGATGAATGTATTTTATTCTCCTTATGTACACTGAGAGCATATACACCTAAGACAAATTCCTTGTGTGTCCAATCACATTTGGCCAATAAAGAATTCTATTCGATTCTGTTCTGTTCCGTCCAGAAGATTGTCAAAATATGAAGGAAGAAAAATCCTATGCTGGCAGTCATTTGTTCTGCAGGAAGGAACATCTTTTATATATTTATATTTATAGGATGAGGTCTGCTTATGCTCAGCAATATTCCTAACTCCCATCCATAACATGGCCCAAGTAAATATGCAGCCAGCTACTACAGATTAGGTCTTACTGTATCCTGGGCACAGGCTGATTCTCTTTTTAGCTACCACATTATAAGTTATGCATGAGGTGAGCTGTCACGACTACTCCTCTTTGCAAGGGAAGATTCATTGGGAACATCTCTGCAGAAAGCACAGAGGACATTATCTTTCTCCCTTCCTTTGAGTTTTAAAGAACACATTCTGTGTGCACTCATGGAAGATGTGGTTATAAATGTAGCATTCTTGAGAATCAAACATCTTTCTTTTAACAAGGATTGAAAAATCTTGAAATTCTTCATCTTATTGACAAGTCAAAAGCACAATTTGCTTTATTAAATGTATTGTCCTTTCAATTTATTTTGTTTTGAAAGTGAGAAAAAGAAATGGGATGGGATAAAGTAGATTCAACATTGAGGATGACAGTCTTATTGTAGGTTGAAAAAAGTCTTAAAGCCTGCAGCAAGGAAACCAGGGTGATATCTTACATAAACATGGAATATATTTTGATATATCGATGGAAACGAGTTAGATGCACTGAGACAAAAAAGCTCACCAAGCTACCATTACTTCCATAATTTCTTTTTGCAAAATATTAATGTCACTGTTCAGCCAAACAGAGTTTATAATAGGGAAAAGAAGCATTAACTATCTAATAAAATAGATCGACTTTCTTCTACACGCTGTTTCAAATAGTAGACAACTCTTCAGGGTCTGAGCAGCCTAGTCCTTCATATTACTGCAGTTAATATCAGTTACCACAAATAAAAAACGACAGTTTCCAAATAAGCTCTTGCCCTAACAGGACAACAATTGAGTATGAACTCCCAATTGCCTTGAATATACAATTAATATTCTTGCTGAGTATAGGCCTTTCTAAGATAAATCTGTCCAAAAATACTCCGTTATTTACTTTCAGAAAGACTGTGGATCAAAATTCTTATGTCTGAATGACTTTCTCCTTTTTGAAAAAAAAAAAAAAAGCACAAAAATATATTTCCTGCACATATTCTGTAACTATGTATAATTATGAGTAGAAAAAAATATACTCTAGCCGTTTCTTTGAACAATTTTGCATCTGCATGGATCTTTTTCAGACGGAAAGCATTAAGTACTGTATTTTAATCTCCTGCCTGTATGTTCCAGTTATTTCATTTATAAATAACCACACACTTTGCTTCTAAGAATAAGCAAAACAGAGCTTGCTACTCACCATCAAATTTCTTGTGCCTCGATACAAATGTGGTGCGGACAAAATGGCTTGTCTTGTCCATCAGATTCTCGAATTCCAGTTTGCTTTGCTGGCTTAGTTTGTCTTCCATTTCTGAAGTGCAACATGTGTATTCCTGAGGGCAGATTCTCAAGTGTTCCCCTGCAAGGATAGGACATGAATGCAAAGCATAAGAAAGAGAGGACATGCATAGTGTCATATTCTGTCGTGTACTGATCTATTCCACAGGCATTTTTAGCCATCAGGGTCCACAAGAGAATTTTATAATTAAGATGTCACTATCAAGGGATGAAGTGGCTCAGTGGCTAAGACGCTGAGCTTGTCGATCGAAAGGTCAGCAGTTCAGCGGTTCAAATCCCTAGCGCTGTGTAACGTGGTGAGCTCCCGTTACTTGTCCCAGCTTCTGCCAACCTAGCAGTTCGAAAGCATGTAAAAAATGCAAGTAGAAAAATAGGTGGAAAGGTAACAGCGTTCTGTGCGCCTTTGGCATTTAGTCATGCTGACCACATGACCACAGAGACATCTTCGGACAGCAATTGCTTTTCGGCTTTGAAACGGAGATGAGCACCGCCCCCTAGAGTCGGGAACGACTAGCACATATGTGTGAGGGGAACATTTACCTTTACCTTATCAAGATAAGAGATCCTGTTCCTAGGGCCATCTGCTGTCCACTTCTCTGCAAGTTACTCACAGGACTATAGGATAGAACTTCTCAGCTGATTGTAGCACAATGGCTTGTCTGGGGGCTGGGGGCAGCTAATATTTTAAGTATGAGTTATATTTTAAAAATTAAGACATGGATCAGGAAGGATTTCAGTTTGATTTTTTCAAAAGGGCCTGGTGGCTCAGCAGACTAAAAGCATTGTGATTAACACCAGCTGTCTGCAATTACTGTAAGTTCGAATCTCACCAGGCTCAAGGTTGACTCAGCCTTCCATCCTTTCTAAGGTAGGTAAAATGAGGACCCAGTTTGTGGGGGCAATAAGCTGACTTTGTATAAATATACAAAAGTATGAAGGCTACTGCTTAACGCATTGTAAGCCGCCCTGAGTCTCCCTGAGGGCGGCATATAAATCAAATTTTAAAAAAAAGAAGTTCTGTGGAATTCTATCAGCATACCGAGCTTCTGTTCTGACCTAGCTCCCCAAATATGACAAACCCTCTGAAGTTAACTCAAAGATTCCTTTATTAGGAGCGCCAGCAGCCCTGGCAAAAAGTTTCTCTCTCACTGCAAGCTAACAGGTCCATGTGTCCGGAAGATGAATAGTTGTCTGCCACATTCTCTGTCCCCTGCCTTTTATCCCCAGAGCTAGGGTGGGGTTTTACAAGCAGCGGTGGCTCTTACGTCCCAAGGACCAGCTCATATTTTTCCACTGCTCTCCTCTCCTCTGCCTTCTGCATATCCTTGCATCAGGCACTGGACCCAGCTGTTCCTCCTCTTCCTCATCAGCTACCTCCAGACATGGGGGCTAATGACACTCCATCTGAGGGCTGACAGACAGCCCAGTCTCCACCTCTGTCTCTCTCCACCAGCTCCATTCCCTCTTCCCCCTTGGAGCTCTCAGGTTGCCTTGATGCTGACCCTGACTCCAACGCCTCCTCCTCATCTGATTTGGCTGCTGGAGGGGCTGGTGGCCGACAGACCACAACAGCTTCCTGAAATGCATTTTATTGGCAACAGTTAGCCATTAAAGATTGATATAGGTATCAGGTATGATTTCTTTTCCAGTAATGTCAAATATATAATTATGAGTACAAATGCAAGAAACGTTTAAAATTTAAGATAAAAATGCAGCAAAAATAGTAATGAAAGACTTTGCATTTAATTCTCCCGGTTATCTCTCGATGTACCATGCCTATGTCTCTGCACAGCCCAGCTTACATTAATGCAATCTGCAAGTGGAAGCCAATTCTTTAACTTACGAAATTAAAATGCTCAGTTATTACATGAACTGTGACTTTCCAATCGAAGCTGGTTGTCAGAAATGTTTAACTCAGCCTGCCGGGAGCAAAAAAATAAATAAATCCCACCATCGTCTACAGAAATGTAACCGAGGGCTTGCCTCTTTAATAAGAACTGCTCTGAGGTAAACTGCTTCATTTTGGGTATAATGAATGTTGATTAAAATCTCTGTGTGCTCTTAAGTGGCAAAGCTATAAGATAAGGGGTTATACCAACCTCACAATTTAGTGCTGCACAGATGTGTTGGCAGTATATCTTTCGGAATTACCAGTCAACATTTAATCCCAAAATATCTGGGATGAGGGAGGCTGGGAAAGGTTTTATTTTGTTTTTTAAACTCACAGACATCAATCTGTTCTAGTTGATCTATTTGGATATTTAAAAACTTCACAAATTAATTATGTTATGATATTTAAATTATTGATTACAGTACTATAGGCAAGTATGTTTTAGTCCCAATCGAAAAGATTGCCAGTTTAGCCTCGTTCACACAGCTTTTAGAATTGAAATTCCACTAAAGGAAATTTTGTTGACTTTGTTCTGACATGAAATACTTCACTAGCTAAGAAAAGGCATTCAAAAGGAGGATTTGGATCCTGAGGCATATGGAGGCATTTGAAAGGGAAGTATTCAGATGAGAAGTTGTCTTAAAACTCTTCACACTCAACAGTTATCTATTTAAGAAGGATCACTATATAAATTATAATTAAAATACAAAAAAATATAAAATAAAGCAGTGCAGCCCTTTGGATTCAAAGACATAAAGGGGCTTTGGATTCCAGATGTGCAAATTCTGAAAGCAAATTTGTTTTTGTTTTTTTCCTGAGACAGCACAGCAGCTTTGGGAGAAGGTGCAGCTATTTAAGGATGGATGTTCACAACCCTAGTCAAGCCAAAGCACCTTCTAGTCTTGAATCCACAGCACTGAACAGGCTAAAATAATAGGCAATCTTTAATCAAAGATCATCATCATAGCCTTTTTGCCATAGCAATTCTTTTTTATGCATTAGGTATACATCAGGGGTGTCAAACTCAAGGCCCAGGCCTGCGGAGTGCTTAGATTTGGCCCGCAGGGCTGACCTGAACCAGCAAAGGAACGACCCGTGGTGCCTCTGTCAGCAAAAATGGAGCTCGGGAGGATAGCCTGCAGCCCTCCTGAGCTCTGTTTTTGCTGGCAGAGGGTTGCAGGAGGCCATCACAGCTGAAAACTGAGCTCGGGAGCCCGTTTTCGCTGGCAGAACGCTCAGGTTGTCACAGGCGCCCCCAACACGAGTGACACTGAACTGGTCACACCCACCCTGCCCACGCCCCCCCAGCCCCCCCGAAGTCAAACACAACCCTGATGCGGCCCTCAATGAAATCGAGTTTGACACCCCTGGTATACTTAGTTCCATATAGAAGGTTGCCAAGGCAAGGAAGAATGATCTCAGCAGCTCCTCCATGCCCAATTCTGGATAAGAAACATCTATTTTGGACTTCACTGGCCAATTATAGTTAGCCTGTAACTGTGGTGGGGCATTTTCTTCAATCTGGTGAAAGTAGACCAGAGTGATGATAAATTGATCAAAGCTATCATGCAGGGAACAAGTTCCTGTTTAGCCTAACATTTCCAAAATAAATATTGTTAACGTAACAACTGATATTGTGGTTACATTAACACACTATAGAGTTATAACCGTATCATACTATTGTTTTATTTGGTAATCAAATAAACTTCTACAATCTGAGGGAAAGTACTGCATTAAAACCATGATTGCAAATGCCTCTCTATTTGGTTTCAAGATTTCTCTGCCATATTCCTCTAGACCTGTGGTGAAATCCAATTTGTTTTACTACCTGTTCTGTGGGCGTGGCTTGGTGGGCATGGCAGGGGAAGGATACTGCAAAATCTCCATTCCCACCCCACTCTGGGGCCAGCCAGAGGTGGTATTTGCCAGTTCTCTGAACTACTCAAAATTTCCGCTACCGGTTCTCCAAACTGCTCAAAATTTCCGCTACCGGTTCTCCAGAACCTGCCAGAATCTGCTGGATTTCACCCCTGCTCTAGACTTATTTATTAAATTCTTACAGATCATCTTACATGAGGTATTAATGTTTAAACCATTCTGTAAACGACTATACTATTTCCTTCCTTCCATTTGCCAAACCAGCTCATTTTCTTGGTCAGAGTTTCCAAACCTTTTCCTCTAAAATGTTGTTTTAACATTTGGATCTGGATATTTACAGAATTATTTCACAGACTGCAATTGTGCTCTCCAGAAATTCTTGGCATTTTACTCCAGGAAACTCTTTGATCTCTGCTGTTATGCCACTTACTGCAAAGATTATATGCCAGATGTGGCGTTGAATACAATTGAACGGCTTTGCTTTCCCCAAAGGGTTTCCCCATAGAGAAATCTGACTGCTTTAAGTTTTGCTGTGCCAGCACTATGCCAGACAAAAATGAGAATTAATTCAGCTGCTGCCCCTATTAAAACCTGATAAACTGCAGTGCTTCAGATTAAAGATGGTAGCTCTCTCCTCTTTTTCTTTGTGACTCATATTATATAAATCAAGCCCATCATTTGGTACAAATTCAGCCACTAGTGTTCAATTCCTGGATTTGTTACTTTTCTAATCTTACATCTGTCTGCATTTGCTCCATTTTGACAAACTTTTAGTACAAGATTTGGAAAAATCTATACCACCTAGAACAGTGTAACACAGTTTACAAGCACTGTGACTTTATACTCAAATGCAGGTAATTATGGTTATTCAACAACAATCTTCCTGTAAGGTACCTAGAAGTTATAATAAATGAAGTAGCTCTACACATATAATATTTTATCAATGAATATTTCACAATGTTGTATTGTGAAAATGAAGTAGTTAAGGGTGGAGGAGAAATCTGATACGTTTTTCAATAAAAAGATTCCTTATTCACGTTTCTTAAAGCATCAAGCAAATAGAAAGTAGATATATTTTGGCCACCATGCTTTTCAGCAATGAGATTCTTCACTTAACAAGTTTGTCAAAAATGCACACAGAATGTATACTGTAAAGGAACAGTGTGTCCAATGCAGAAACATATGAATAAGCATTTCCTTAGGATATACTGTTTGCCAAGATTAAGGATGGATTAACCTTTCAAATATGATTTTCCTTAGCATCTATTTTTCAACACTAATTTGGTTTGGTT